TTTGTACTGTAGCTTGTGTTATGTTTGCTGGCGTCTGCTGCATGCAGGTTAAAGAACGCTTGTCTGCTGGCTGGAATGTTTTATTGTAAACCTTTCGGTTTAAGCTCTAAAAGTCAAATCCTTCCTACTCAAAGTGACCTAGGACTAATGGAATGATAATTAATTTTGCAGACAAAATAGACTGAAGTTTTGTCATATGTTATTGCACTCTGACGTTTAAAAAACTATCACAAAGAACTACTACTAAATGCTTTTAGTGATCGACTGGGTTCCTCACTTAGAGACCAGCGGCACGGTTAGCTTCTGTCAACACCTGTTTCCCAGTAAAATTCTGACTTTTCATAAGCACTTTTGTCACTCTTCTAATCATTTCAGTGCCTGGCATTTTGTTTAAATCTTGTCATCTTCTTTCTAGTTATGTCACGACTTTTTGAGATCTGTCTTTACATTCTGAAGTTTCTTCTTAAGCCAAAAGCTGGGTTTTTTTACTGAATAGTCAAAACTGATATCACATGCATGAGGAACTGTAATCTAACACCATTTTGTCAAGATAGAAAAATGCTCCATAAAATATAAACTGCATGTTTGTGTCTAGAGTTGAAGGATATCAAAGGAAAGATACAGGATTAGGTTTTTCTATATGTAAAAAAATGTATTATGGAGAAGATCAGTTATACTTTCTTGAAACCAATGTGCATGTTTCCAAGTATGAATCTAGTCCACAGCACAAAAAGTATAACTTCTTTAGCTATTAAGACTATCTCAAAAGAAATCCAGATAATCAAAGTGTCCTCAAATTATCTTAAAAAATAAAAACAGTTCATACTGGATAAACAAAAATGAAGGTGAAAATAGCTTTTGTGGCTTTAAGTCATTTATTGTAAGTTATTCATCACTTCACCCTAAATCCTTTCCATTATTAGGAAAGTGAAGCAAAGCCAGTGTTTTCTGTCTTAATCCTCCTTCTCAGATGCTCTGCACAGTATTTCTTTTTTAAATCAAGCTGCTAGGTAAACCATTTTCTGAGCACAAGATGTTGGAGTCCACTTCATAAACCAGGCACTCTTCAAAGTTGTCATAAGCATATTATAGAAATACACAGTACTAGACTGGGGTAGTGTACTTTATCAATATTTCATCTTGGTACAATATACTTGCATTAACTCTCTTAACACAGATATCATATTGTTTCAAGTCAGAGAATCTAAAACATCGTAACAAAGATGAGACTTAAGAGTAAAGCCTTGAAAACTACAGCCATTAGTCCTGTCATCCTCTATAAAGTTAATGGGATGGAAAAATGGTCAATCTTTGGACTAAAAGTTGATATTTAATTGAAAGAGAATGTTTTTTAATTGTAATGGGGATTTTGCATTAGTGTGAACATGAAAAGGTACTACGCCATCTAATGCAAGGTTATGTATTGATTTTCATCTTAACACTAGTGTAAAATGAAGGAATATTTCTATTTCATAAACAACCTTGCCTATTCAGCACCATGACTTCCTATTTGTTTTAAGGACACAGAAGACAGAATTGAACGAAAAGAAGGAATCATAAAATATTCTCAGACATTTTTTGCTGGTGCACAGGAGAAAAGCCATGAAGCTGCTGTAAACCCTGACTGAATCTGCACCAGGATTCTCAAAATGTTTTATGTTGCTTTCAAATTTTCAGGGTTATTTGGTTCAGGAAAGCAAAAGCATCTCTAAACCTAGCACTACACCGCCTTAACCAAAATGGTTTTAGTGACTGTGGATTATAACAAGAGACTTGATATAACGGGTGTGCAAAGTCTGCCCACAGAATTAGCATCACTATAGCCTAGAAGGATGGACATATTTAGAAAATGTGTTTTTTTCTTGAAAAGGAGAATGTTTGAGTTCAATGAATTTAAATTCTTAGTTTTAATAATACTGAGAACACTAAGTTGAATTTTGGAGATTTGATTTTCCTTTTAATACAAACTTATGTAAATGAGATTATTTTAAATCCTATACAGTTTTCTCCAATAACAAGCCATTATTTTGACATTCCACTTCAGCACTTATAAATAAGAATTTATTGCGAGTGATAGCTATCTAAGATTTTTAAGTCAGTATAAGTTACTTCATTTAAAACTGAAAGACAGCATGAAAAATGCAGAAAGCATTGCAAATACTATGAAAAGTATTGCTATAATTCTACTACAAAAGTTATTACGATACTGAGTACTTCTGGTCTGCTGTTAAGGTGCTTTGGTTATATACCCTGTAGTCTACCATTTGTAAACACATCTTTTTGATGTTTCTGCCAACGTCCTGGCAACAAAGCAGTGCAATTTCAAATGAGCTAATTAACTTAATTGTTGATGAAGCATGAAACAGTTCATTCACCCTGTTAGCTGCACCATGACAACATAAGAGTCTCAGCCCCTGAAGTTACTCATCTATATAAGCCTATCTGTAGCTTTCCATTAAGATCTATTGCACGCCAAAATGACTACGGCTCTTCTGACAAAGACCGGTCCATAATGTACACAGGTAGAAAATCAGTGGCCTTGCTGAAAATTCAAATGAACACAGAAATACTAATAACTATCTAAAAAAAGAAAAAAACGGGGGAAAAAATGCAGAATTCCATTGTAGATTGAAGCTGCAGATGCAAAGTAAAAGCTGGGTCACTTCTTTTCTAAATGCTCAGATTTAGACAACAGCTGGCAAAACCAAATACTAAAAGTGAAAGCTCTTGAGATCACTGTTCAGTCCTGAAAGGTGCAAACCCACCTGTTCACAGTGCTTATTTTCTGTGTATCTTGTGCACATATAAGAGTAAGAGCAAAATGAAATAGTGAGAGTTAAATAGTCGTGCTTAGTCCTTTGTGCTTTTTTATTTATACTATACATATTAATTCCCACTATACACAAACTGCCAGAATTTCAAACATACTTTTTCATACCCCTACTATCCAATATGCAATCTAAAGCATCTCTTCAAATTTTCTGAGGCTCCATTTCAGTAAAGGATAATAAGAGGATTAAACACTGTGCTATTGAAAGGCCTGCAAAAGTGTTCAACATGAAAGAAAGGATAACAATTCGACCCTCTGCAGATAACCTCGATTATCCAGTTGCTTGGAATACACAAAAAAAATCTCTGCCATGATTTACAGTAAAACTTTGTTTGCCGTCTTTCTTTTTCCCCTCGCCTTAAACAACCCTGTACCAAGGAATAAAAATCCACCTACTTTAAAAATTGTCCAAAATCTTCACAAACGCTTTCACAGCCAGGCCATTTGCAAACTCCATGACCATAGAGAGTATGAGAGGCCCCAGTCTCCTCATGTGACGAGCTGTAGCAAAAGAATAAGGCATCAGATTTATTTCAAAAGCCATAATCGTTGGAGGCTGCTAGCGCCTGTCAGGTTACGATCAGTGACAAACAGGTCAAAACAGGTCAATTTAGCTCAGAGCAGTCAGAAAAATTTAATCGTTCTATTGAATAGTTCAACTGCCAAGGCTAGATGATGTTCCAATTAGAGAAGAAATAGAGCCAAAGATGACTGTTAATAAAGGATGAAAAAATAGGATGACTGTATAATACCATATGCTAATTCTGCCATATGACATTGGTGTAACATTTACCTATAAATAAAAAATTTACTTAGAAGTGATCAATTCTGAGAAGAAATATTGAGGACAGACAGTCAGAATTTATTAATATTGTGAATGTTACTACAAAATAATTGGATTTTCTGCTTAAATGTGTTCTGCTTAAAAATAAAGTTGCTTCCATTAATAAATATTTTTGTTCACAAGCATTGCTCCCATTAGCTACTTGGCTTCATAAAATACCCCAGCTCTATTCCATATTTTTTTGTGTATTTTTTTTTTCATAAAAAACACGAGCTCTATTCTGTGTCTTTTTCTGGAACCTCCACAATAGTTTCATCCACATGCAGTTATCACAGAAATTCAGGGGATTGCCCCATCGAGCTGGGCGTCAGCTCCACATTCTGAAGCAAAGAACCATTCTCTGGGATTTAACAACAAAAGTAATACCAACTAAAAGCACTACTATAAAAGTACTCAGAGAAGTACCAGTTTGTAAATAATACAAAATAACAACAGAAGAATGTTCTCACAGTCACATAAGGACCAGAGACACTTAAAGTATAGTCTCCTATTATAAATACTAAAATAATTAAATGGAATATTTATTTGAAAATGTGATTATTTACAATATAGGTTATGTAGATACAAATTAAATTTCATCTTCTATTCAGATCATCTACATCTCACTATACTAATATATTTACTAATAAGTGCTATATATATATACACTCTTGTATGCATTTAATCCCTTGCTTGAAAATAAGTAGAGAATATCTGTCAATATGCCTGAAAAATAATTTTAACTTTATCCATATGGTTGAATTCCACTGTATTACACTAACACCACTGAAAATTTGTACGAAATGTGTCAACTGAGTTACTGCCATGCATATAAGAAGGAAAATTCAGTGGTTTTCTTCATAAGAGACAAACAATATGGAACTGCTTTAATGTACTAATTTTTAAAGCACTTTTTACATGCAATCTTTGCACTGAATTACAGCCTTGACAACTAGATATATGTACATTTTCTATGAAACCAGCAGTATGATTCAACAGTAAGGGCCTGACTGCCAGATGTGTTAACTCAAACAGGAACGAAACTATGTGCCTACAAAAGTGCCCACAAATCTGCATTTACACCTCTAAAGCAGCACACTCTATTCTGGGATTTCTAATTTTGACCGAAACTACCATAAGTTCCCATGTTATAAAACCACAGGCAAGTAATTGTTGTTGTGTCTGCAACATTAGACACCGTTATTTAAAATGATGCCCTACTGATAAACAATTTTGAAAATTCGGGTCTCCTTGATCTCTTAAGTAACCCGTATTAAGTATCATTTTGTGATTGGAAATAATGCGACTTTTGATGTCAAACAACAGGTTTACGTCAAACGATAAGCACAGTTGAAATCTCATCAGAATTACCTGTCTCGCCTTGCATTTAGAACTGAAGACTGTCCATTCACTATGGAATGATGAGTTATTGGTGGTGATGCTTTGGAAGTGGTGGAGGAGGTAGTAGAGGAGGAATTGTTAGTAGTGAGGTCTAGCCCTCCGTGTTTAATGCCATTGTCTTCCATACTGTGAACTCCAGTCACTTCTTTCCATAACTGCTGAATCTCAGCAGGACTTAAGCCAGCTATAAAATGAAAGAGAGCCCCACTAATATAACAAAATAAAGAGTTTCATATAATGAGCTCAGTGTTATTAATGGATTAATGCCAACAATAAAGCTGATGCTGTTTTTCCAGCACAATCAACGTGTAGTAAAACATAAATTCATTTTTCTTCTGTCAGAATCCAGGTAATCTAACTGTCTTCTCTTGTGTTATAAACAGCCAATTAGAAATCACCAATTGTAATAATATTATACTCCTTCTGAAAACATTGCTGAGGATCAAAGAGTGAAAGTTACAAAGAACTTGCAGCTACTTCTTGAAGAGAAGAAAACCACCCAGAAATAAGTATACTTCCGGACAAGATTTTTGTTGTCTGCTTAATCAATTTCTTGATATGGAAACATAACTCCATGCAGCCACAGTTAACTCAGGCTTTACAATTCCTCTTAATCAAACATGTAACAGAAAATAGAAGAACACATTAAGGACACAAACACTGATATTCTCTTTAAACACTTAACAAGAGCAAAGAGTGGGGGAAGAAGACTGAAGGGAGAAAAAGCAGAAGACAAAAAAGAAATCAATGAGATCATAACAGGTTTAACATTTGAGCAGAATGCATCTGACTTTAATTAATGACACTCACATATTCATTAGTTCTATTTAATATTTACAAAAATTGTTCTGTTTAAAAATGTGTCTTAAGAGGCAAAACCAAAGTGACTGTCCGGAAGAACAAAAGCACTACAGCGCAGAGCTAGATACCAGTGACCGCATCATCTCTCTGGTACCATTCAGTGCCACCAGACAAATAGAAAGCCAACAAAACTGGCCCATTTACAACTCCCTCCACGCAGACGAAATTACATGTAGCACAGACCATCAAATTCCTCCACTATTTTTTGTCCAGCCCTACTATGGAAAACAAATCGGAGGGTTTGGCCAGGAGAAAGGAGACTCTGTCTCACTGGTCTCCTGGGGTGACGGGCAGCCATACAAAATTTGAAGAGCTTCTCAAACTTCTCTGCTATATGCACAGCACTATTCTGGAGTCTAGCCACCAGATCTTTACAGATAGCGCTTAAGTTTGCTCTCTACTCCACTTGTAGCCTGGAAACTTGTATCTTCCAGGATTCATCGTCGGTCACAAATAGCCATGTCTTCTAGAATGTATTTATACATCTGTGTTAGGACTGTCTGGCTCGAGTTGAGCACTTTGCACAAAGACATGGAAACTTCCATTACAATACACTTCTGCCTGAAGTTAAGTCTCCTAAAACATAGGCAAGAGAAGAGCCATGAGAATTCTCCTAACTTGCCACCGAACATGCAGCTAAGGTAGGAAGTTCAGATTTTGAAAGATGAAGAGTTAATCAGTAATAGATACACCTTCTGCTGCTGCAGGTCTTTGGAAGTTTGACATGCCTCTTTTGAAGAATGCTAAATTAAATGTAGAAAAGAATGAGAAGCCCAGAGAGCTTCTTGTGAAAGATCTGGTTTCATGGCCAGTTTTTTCAGCCTGACATGGTTTGGGCCAGAGGTATCTTAAAATCTAGTTCTGTCTTCTGTATCTCGTTTTAACAAGTGAAATTGGGTAAGACAGGCTCACAGTACCTAGATGTGCTGGAATGTAAAACATTCAGAATGCTGATCTTGTCTGAACTAAAATTTTGCTCTTTTTATTTTATGAAAGAGCTCAAATTTATTGTCCTTCAGAAAAGTATTAACATCTATCTATTCATTCAAACTTTTCATTGAGGATAGTTTTGTTTGATATATATATATATATATATAAGAAAGATGTAAAGACTGTTTTTCACTGTTTGGCAAATTTGTTTATTAGATAATGTTTAACTTTGAAGACATAGGAACTCAGACTACTAAAAAGGATTCAACAAAAAATGATGAAAAAGCATAGTAAGTTCCTTAATACTTCTCAATAGCTCTCTGACCATGAAGTATACAACGCTATTAAAAAATAGACTAGTAGTGATTTACAGAAATAATAATTTCTGGAGGTAGTGTGGAAATAAATTGGTTGGAAGGTATTCAGGTTTTTTTTAAATTATGAAAGCAGGTAATTTTCAGAGTACTATTTTCTGTCTTGCTTCTCTACCTTAGATACCAACACCCATTGGCAAATTCAGTTAATGACAAAGGGAAAAAGAGTTGATTGGAATATAAGTCTTAAAACTGGAGTTTATATCATATTTCTACAGCAAAAAGCTAGGTTTTAAGGAAGCAAGCAAAGAAGCCATGCTGTAATTTACTGCATTAGAGAGACGGGCAACGGAAGCGATGATAATACTAGTTGTAATTGTTTAATGAAGGTAAGTAATTACCACCGTGCTCATGAGGTATGTTCCAGCAACACTGCAAATAACCCATTTTAGCGTGGTAAATAATAGTTACCCACAAATGTAATCACAAATCAAAAAGAAAAGTAATGTATTCATTTAGGTGGCATGATATACACAGTACATTATTTACTTCAAAGTCTTCCCTTCCTCCTGCTGTTGAACGAAATAAACTAATTTTGTATTGAAAAAAACAAAACCCAAGAATAAACCCATCTGTTTGAATAATCAGAGGGCAAACATATCGTCATGACTTGCAGTGAGAGAATTTTCATCAGAGATCATCAAATCTGGGGGGCTGGGGGAGCCGAGTAAGAGCTGCCCCAGAAGCTGGGGGAAGGGATGAAGGCTGGGAGCGGCTGAAGGAACGACCCTTCCCATGGGCAGGGGTCTCCTGCCCCTCTGGGCACCTTCCTCTGTGCGACGCTCTGGATGCAGCTCTGGCTCCAGGCTGCCCAGCTCACCTAGATTATTCTAAAATCAGAAAGAAATTTCTCTCTGGGCTCAGGCTGGTTAATTTTATCACTTCTTCAGAGCACTCTGAAAGGCTGCCTTTTAGGATAAAAGGATTAAGGGCAGGCACTTAAAAGTATAAAGTTAATAAGCGGATTTGTAATTAATTGTAAATGATGGCAATTTTGTAGTTTCTGTCTCTAAAAAAGCCCAACTCCCATTTTACAAGAGACCTGTAAAATGGCTGACAGATATTTTAGTCTGGATGTAAAAGTAGGGTAAGTTTCATAGTTTCGTAGGTTGTGACAACCCTCAAAATAAGGAGAAAGGATCAGGAAAAGGTTACAGAGTGGGATACAAATTAGGGACTACAAGAAGAAGGGCAAATACTGATTTTCTATGCAGTTTATTAACATTAAGAATTTTGGGATTTTGAGGTTAGTTTCAGAAATTTTTTCACCACTATTTATTTTTATGTTTTAATAAATATTTAATAAAGCTACCACTTCTGGAACCCATCCATGATTTTGTTTTTCATTTTCCTGCATGGCCTGATCAAAACAGGGCTCTGGGTTTGTGGGGTTTTTTTCTTGTCATTTAGAGCCCTTTGCATTTAGCTAGCATCAATGCAGCATTACATGGAAGTAACTCACAGCGAGCCACTGGCTTTGGATATGGCACAGTGAAGATCTTGTCACAAAATAAATGCTAGAACACCACTTGTATCTTATTTGCTATATTGACCATAAGAAAACATGGTAAACACTCCTGTCCTTTAAAGGCAGAAGCTATACGTAGAACAAATACTGTTCACACATGCAAACATCACAGCTGTACTTGGAAGTTCCACCTTTTCATCCTAACAAATGCAAAACCCATGCTCTTTCTGTCACTAATAATTTGTGGTTTACAGGACTCTTTATGATCAATAACTTACGAACATGAATCCCCCTGTGTTTCTCTCATTCTAGCCATCCATGTAACTCAGCAGTTGAAACAGATTCATACAAAAATATTTGTGTTATACATATGTAAACCCTTCTGTATAAGCATATTATACATCTTGTGGCATAGTGCAAGGATAAAAACATCCTCTTACTGCATCCAGTGCATATTACCTTAAATAAATTCTGAAGGTTTGATTTAAGACTGCCACGGAAAATGTCTGTCACAAAATTTGCTAAATTTTATAAGAAAAACAAAGGAAGTTTGATGCTCTTACGTTTATGCAAACCCCAATGCAGGGACATCTATGTTAAATCTAGGAAGTACTACTTGGATTGGTAAATATCAGATTTATGTGGATGTATTTGGATGTGTAAATTTAAGAATTATGTGAAAGTCTCAACAGATCTGAAGCCTATTAATCTTCATTACATTATTATGAACTGGATTGGGTGCTGTACCTTCTTATGAAAGACACAATGTGCTGTAAGAGAAGCCCACAGAAAGAACTGCAAGCCAGTCACAGCTCTGCTTTTGGTCCTCTCTTTGTTTTAGCATCTTTCTGGAAAGACTTTCCTTCTTCACTTCATCATTCTAACTTCACCTTGACTGGCACAGGGTGAGCAGCCTTTCTGGAGCTGCATAGAGGCTTTCCAGGGGAAGTTATCTTATGTTTTTTAAGTTTGCACATCTACATCAGGGCTACAAAAAATCAAGGTCCTATAAATTAACTTGTATATCTCAAGGAACTCTACATACACAGTAGATACTAGAACTATGAGAGAAAAATGGAAGAATTAAATACTTGACAGGAATTAGTTACGATTAAAAAATAGCATGGCAGGAGCAAAAGAGATTAATTTACTTCAAAAAGAACAATCCATATATATTTTAACTGTAAAAAAAAATCTTTTTTGTTGCAAAAATGTATAAAAAAGGTATTATTTTTTCTACGTTTTTCTTCTAGAAGTGTATGAATGAGTGTTGCATTAAACTAATGAATATCAATGCATTTGGGTAGGAGTGCTGAGAGAAATCTACGGGGATTGCTTAATGTGAGGGAGAACCTGAGGAATTCCTCTTGCAACAGATGGCACAAGAGGAGGTTGCAGAAGGTAAAGCTATTCGGAGGGAGGTTGTGTTTCAATTGTTTTTTTGCATTCTGGTCCAATGTGACTTTGTACAAAAAGAAACCAGCCCTACCAGTCTCACATGTCCACATTCATGAATCAGCCTGCCTTCCCACTGCTATTCTCCAATAATAATATTTAGTGTGATAGCTTATTCAGGACTCTTTTTTATTGTTGTAATTTTTATGACTTTACATATGCTTGTGTGAGAGCTCTACCACACAACACACTGTATGGAATTTACACATTTATTTGGAATCTCTGCTTTCCAAGGACTGAGGTTTTTAGCGGGTAAGTCTTTCTCACACCTTTCTTCTGTCTTTTTTTTTTTTGTCTACACTGTTGTCTCTATACTGTGTACTCTGCTTTTGCTCATCTAATTTCTGAAGCTTCGATTTCGTAATAGTTATCTGGTGGAGGAGCCAGATACACACACAAAGATCAATTAAAAGTAATGTTACCTGTCATGAGCACAGTCTAAACAACGCGCACTGTAGGACTGGAGCGTCAGAGATCAGAGTATTGTGTAATTTTTATGACAGACATTTGGCTCACCTCTCTATGGTAACACAAACAGAAACATATACCTCACAGGTTATAGACAAAGTCCTTAAGATGGGAAGTCTTCAGCCTTATCTTAAAACATAAGCAGCATTTATCTCCAAGTCAATTTACTTTTCAAAAGTGCGTGCCCTATTTTCTTTCAACCATGAATGTATTTGTGTCAAGTAGTAGTTTGAGCTCATTTTCAGCACTGAGAAATCTTGATCAAAGCGACAAAGGGAATTTTTTTTCCCAGAAAATCTTTACTTTTATTTGTCAGTCATAATTCATTACTATTGGAATCACCACCTTCAGAACTTGTTGTCATATTTAACATATTTAATACAAAGGAATAGCAAAGAAAATTAATCCTAAGGTTTGTCCCTAAATTTACATCATAAATTGAAGATTCAAAGTGCTTTTCAATTACAAACACTTTCTTTTCTTACAAGGAGATTAAAAAAAAGTGAGTTTTGGGTTGACTTTAATATCACTGTTGAGTATATTTTATATCTGTTCACTTATATTAAATGAAATTATAACATTTCCACTAAATCAGATTTCAGTAATTCCTCAGAGAAAAGCAATGGTTTTCGAATTGTGTTGCTATCACAAATTGTTTTCAGCACATAAGTCTAATAAATATGCACCTTGTATCCAAGAAAAAACACTCAAAAGCTGTTTTCTTCCATGAAAGTATGCCTTAAAATTTATCAGCCTCAAGAAAATCTGGTAATATGAGTAACAAAGTTATAATAATATAGTATGTTTAAGTGTCATAATGGAAAACTGCTGAAGCTTGGATGCAAATGGAACGGTTAAAAAAATTCTGTATTAGAAATTACTCCAATCATATATTACTCGAATACCTTGTGGCAGAGACTGGACAGGAAGAGCAGACTGGCCATGTTGCTGCTGCTGAAGTTTTTGCATCTGGAGGAGCTGCTGCTGGAAGACAAGCTGCTGGGCTCCCAACTGCTGCTGCTGCTGCTGCTACAAAGAGAAGGGGGGGGAGAAAGGCAAATGCAGCAAAGAGTAAAGTGCGCAGCAAAGGCTAGAAAGCCAAAAACGTAAAATCAACTTCCTTCTCTTTAATCTCAGATATTAAATAATAATGCTATTTGTAGAATACTCAGGCAGTGAAAGTGTTTGAAATTTTCTATTATATTCATTCAAGCTATTAGGTGTTAGGGAAAATGGCAAGATACACTTAATGACAGACTAAAGAAAAGGGTCAAGAGAAAGTATACAACAGCTGTCTCGAACAAAAAAAAAAAAAGCCCAGCTCATGGCAGATGATAACAAATTTATCTATGCTAAAAGTGTGACTCTTTACAGCAGTCTGTGATCCAAAGGCACTCTTGTTTTTCCAATTGACTAAGTCTGGTCCGCAGTGGCCCATGAACATGGTCTCCAGTGATCTATTAGTAAACTGGGATGTAGCCTTCATTTCACTGGCCTGTTAGCTCTCTCTCTTTTCCTGTTGGAATATATTAAAAGGAGCACTGCATGTGAGGCAACGAAGTGCCCTATTATGGAGCAAAAGTATAAGTTCCAATTTTGTGAGGCATTTCAAGACAAACTGGAGTCTGCAAAGACTCAGGAGGGTATGAGAAGGCAGTCACACTTCAGAGAAAGACAAGCTGCTGTGGAAGACCTTTCCTTTCTAGTTTGGGGAAAAGAGAAACTTCTGATGCGCTCACTGGAAAACAGACTGCATAATGGAGCAAGTCATGTGGATTGCCCAGAGCCTCCGGAGAAATACGGGAGCAATTTCTATTCCGTAGTTGATGGCTGTCTGAAATTCTATTCACAAATCCAAACAGAAACAAAGCCTCAGGAGGTCACAACTGCTTCCTCGACGTTTGCATAATGGGCAGCTTGAAGACAACGTCTCGGATACCTGCTGATCAATTTAACTACTTCAACACGTTTTGTTTGTATTATGTTTATATTTGATGCGGTTTGCTGACAAGTGCAAGCTAGGCCTGAGAAACCTGCTTGTCAGGTTGATTTATGAGCACATCAAACTGTAACTTTCTACTCGCCACTCCAAACCTACAGTAGCAGTTCATTAATCAGGGGCCTGCGACTTTGAAATCTGTGCTCAGTCGCTCTTTTTCAGCCACGGACTAAATTTGCATGCTCTCTGCGCTGTGCCACTGAGAAAAGTCAGGCTCCTTCCCCAGCGCCGATTGCCTGTGAATACAAGATAATCAGTACGGTGTCCACCACACATCTTGTTCTTTGCACACTCGGATTCATTAGCGAACATTAGACGACAGCAGCACTAGACTGCTCAAATCCTGTGTCTCAGAAAGGGGAGCAGGAGAATTATACTGGCACTGCTATTAAGCCCGGTAAAAACACAAGAACAAATCTTTGATAGCTGCATCCGTGCTACAGGAAAAAAATCTAAACTAGTCTTGTCTTTCCCAAGCCCTTGACAGCTCAGACTAGTGTGCATCAGCAAGGGTCTTAGCTCCTACCTCTTTTGCTTGCTTTCCTGGATGCTGTTGCTGCTGCTGTTGCTGCTGCTGCTGCTGCTGCTGTTGCTGCTGCTGCAAAAGCTGAAGATGTAACTGCTCTTCCTTTTTCTTGTAAAACTCTTGTAGTTGTTGCTGAATAAACCATTTTGACTTTAATAAATAAAGGCAAAAGTTTCAAGTATTATAAATCTCCTAAACTCTTCTAGATTGGCACACGGTAGCGTAGCCATTAAGAATCACCTCATAACAAAAAATGTGATTTGAAGAGGCAGATCTACATACATTTTTTTCCAAGGCGGTTCTGAAATTTTCCAATGCAGATTCCAAAATATCCTAAACAAAAGGGCATAGAAAATCTGTATTCTAAAGGGAATGCAAGAGCCAAATTAACTCCTCAAATAACTATACCTAAGTTCCTCAAATGTCCTATATAACAAATCAGAAGCTGTACTCATCCACTTGCAAGAAACCTACAAGTCACTAAGGCCAAACTAAACTGCCTTTTTCTTAGGGGAAAAAAGTAATTAATCTGTCAATCTGTTTAGCAGGATGCTGGATTCACAACTGAAGGTGAATTGCCTGTAATGATCACGGTACTGGATATTAAAGTGTTTAAACATACAGAGATTGAGCTATGACTATGACAAAGAGACACATCATTTTTAGTATGACAATTAAGCACCCAGCCAAAAATCCACTCTGTTACTCTGAGGTACTGATCACTGACACTATTTTTATTGTATGAGTAACAAGTTTGTGGATTCTTCACTTAGCTGACAGATTTTGTACTAAGGAAAGAGCAACCTCCTCCTTCTTCTTAGCCTTATCTGGGACAAATTTTTTGGAGGTAAAAACAAACAAAATAAAAAAAACTTTTTCCCCTGATGGAACGAGCTGTTATGTTCAAATTTCATAACCGCATACCATTTATGTGACTAAAGGGAGCACTGCAGTGTTATGAATTTTAAAGCAACAATTATCTACAACTCTATTTGCACTTCCTTTGGCAAGTCTACAATTAAAATGTGCCTAAGCACTTGAAAATTTAAATATCAATTTGTTCGGTATTTGTAATGCATCTGCCGCTGCTGCTGCTGCTGTTTTTAATATAATATTTAATGTTTCACAATCGCAATTTCACACTTCTACAATTAAACCAAGAAATTTAAAGACTGAGAAGTTTCACATTTATTTGCATTCTTTTGGTGTAATGAGCAATGAAACATTACAAAATAAGACCCATAAAATCTGGCGACACTTATGAGAATGCCCTGTGCTAACAGTCCAAAGCAGGTAACCCACATTACCTGCTGCAACATAACTGCTTGCTGCTGCTGGAGAAGTGCTTGAAGCTGCTGTGGAGACAACACTTGCTGCTGGAGAATCTGCTGCATTTGCTGAGGGGTGATCACCTGGGGAGTCATCATGGCCACTGACACAGGCACCTGCACAGGGAAAGAAAGATATCATCGTCAAAGTCATTTTAGTTCGCCTGCACCACAGCTGTATGCCTTTTTGATTTTGTACCAAAAATGGACCATAATTTTTTACATAATATTTATCACTGCAAAGTTTCACCTTCAGTCGGAATCTGTTATTTTAAGACCACAGTACTGTGGCACCCTATTTCCAGAGGCATCAGATTCGATCAGACTCAAGCTTTAAGTTTCGCATCTCTTATGTATTCCTGCAAGAAATTTAAGCATTGGCTAGTACAAATGTGTATATAAAAACAAATGTTCACATGGTAGGGCCCTCAACACTTCATAATCAATCATCTTATCAGGTGTCATAATGTTACGAATGGAAAAATCTATTGAGACTGTTTCAAAAGATATGATTAAAACAGACAGCAAAATAAGTATCTTAAAGGAGTAAATGTTGTACACAATAAAGACACTTAGCCTAGAAAAATATTTGTGTAAAACATCACTTCAGCATAAGAAAACCTTTCTTGTTCGGCTGGTCTTTTACAGAAGTCTGATTTATACAGGAAAAAAAATGCCATGGACACATCGGAGTACGGAGCAAGGGCCGCCACCTCAGTCACTCAGTCTCTGCAGAGAGAAACGTGTGCTCAGTCTCTCCTAAATGAAAACTGAAAGATGAGAAACCTTGCTATAAGATTATTAGTTTGTCCACTAAAATTTAAGAATGCATTTTTGTGTAGGTGCTCTTTTGGGCACAGTTTTATTGTCCGTCCCTCATACACTGAGATGAAGTGTGTACATATGTACGTAAACACCCACCTACACGGAAGCTCTCAGGAATATATGTGTGAGTGGGCAAGGCACAGCAGGTACGTGTAGTTGTATATGTAAGAGAGAAAAGTCCCATGGCAGAGCCCGAGGAATGCGCCGAGCCGCTGCAGCCATCACACTGCGTGAGACCCCTGCTCGTGCTAACCAGGACACGGTCAAACAGCTGTCAGCAGGCCAAGTTTTCCACCCATGAAAAAGCAGCCGCTCGCTTGTCTAGAAAAAATCAAATGCCTTTTCTGTAGGTAATAGCTAGCTGGCATATAAATATGGCTTTGTGAGATGTTTGTAGGACATTCCAGTCTTCTGTAAATCAGCAAAAATAATATTATTGTTAATAAAATAAATCATGAACAAATCTTAAGAGGAAAAACTTTTCTAAAGTTTCTGTTACTTGAATCTATCCCGAAAGACTGTGTATAAATGTAACACTTAGAGAAAAAAAATACAAGTCTGCTGAAGTTTACTTTTAGAAAAAATTACTTCAGCTAATACTACACAGAATACCACTTTCCACACAGTTCCTCACAGCATAAATTACGTTCTTAAAACATTGACTAATTAAGAGTCTGAAAGTAAAAGTACCAGCCATTACTAAAGTCTGATAATCTGCAAACAACAAATGAATTTTAAGAATAAAAATTCTGAAGGTCTTGCCCTAAAATACATGGGGAAAAGACATCCCAGACTTCCACTCAGAATCAGATACTTGTGGGGAGGAATTTCATCTCAGCTATCACTGGACTCCTTCCAAAGTCAACAGAATAAGGAAATCCCAAGGAAACTTCATCTGATCTAGTTTAGGCATCTATTTTTGCATGGCATTGATCTCTCTGAATGTGCCTGTCTCTCTCCTTTGAGTGTACACTCACTTTGAGTAGACACCTAACTTTCAGATGGTTAATGTTGGTTGTTATACTTTGTGATGTCAAGAAGTTTTTTAGTATTGGAAACACCACATCCCTATGCAATAATGTTTTTTTCTAAGTGTACCCGGTCCTAAGGGCAGGACAAACAAGTTTTTACAGTTTTGGGACGCATGACACTGGAGTCAGTGTGCAATTCGCCCTGAAGTCAACACGCATCTCCTCCATTTATGTGAGATCTGAACTTGCCTTCTTGTAACAATTTTGCCTCAGTGATGCTGCTCAACTACCACATCACACAGAAATGAGAAGCCAGAGATGAAGACAGACACCTTCCCTATTGAACCATTACCTTTGACCTTTAAACCCTGCAAGAATTTTCCTAACACTTACATGCTTACTGCTACTGCACAGCAAATGGTGAAGGTGCTGCACACTTGCTACTGCACTTCTCCTCTTACCCTTACATCCCCTCTATCTTCCCTGTTTTATGTACAAACAAGTAATAATTCTGATATAACCATAGTACATATCAACTTAACTCAGTAAGTGGCACTGGTTTATCCATGCTCCACGCTAAAGACTCTAGCCACTAAGATGTGCAGTAAGACTTGTGCTGCTGCAGGAGCCATCTATTCCTCAGCCCAAAATACAGAATCCCCTTCACCAGGCATTTTTCTGCCAGCCTTGGTAGTATCTGCTCTGAATCTCTTGACTGTGTATTTGCTTTTAAATTTGGAGACACACCTGCTTTGCGGTTTCTCTCCAAATTTGTTTTTCCCATATTTTTCATCAGGAACCTTCAACTGTGTAAGCCGAAGTAGAGAACCTAATTCACCTGGTTTTCAGGATGACAGAAAAAAGCCTGAAAAATGCCAGTCATGATAGTTATTAAAAAATATATCTCTGTAGATAATATTGCCTTCAACAGAATTTTACATGAGGATCCATATGTGTGTACCATACCTGATATATATCTTCTTTCCCACAGATAAAGAACAAGGCACATTGAAAACTGCTTGAGTTTTAAATTAGAAAAATGTATTAAGCAAAGAGATTTCTCTAATTGTAATTAGGTAACATAAATTGGTACATTTCACAGCCTTCAGTGATACACCAGACTGCACTTTATTTCTTACTGGAATAGTGTTACTGTGCTATCTGGGTCGGAAGACTATCCGAAACCTGCTATTTTATGGCCAATTATGAGCATTAGGTATATTTCTTTGGTTTAATGTCTGCGTATTTCCAAGATTTCTGATCTGATTTTACAAAAATGGAGCAAAAAGGCAAACTCTGACTCATAGAAATCTCTCAATATACCTGAAGTCAGTTCAGGTAGAGGACAGTAGAGGGACCCAGTGAAAAGATATGACCAAGTGAATGACATGGTTCGTTTGAGTGGGCCACAAACTCCCAGCAAATTCTTGGTCATACCTCTCATGATAAACTGAAGAGACAAAGTGAAACGTGATTTATTACTGCAACCCATTCACTGCAAACCTTCCTCAAAGAAACTGAACTCCCAACTCTGTCATGAAGATGACTGGGTTACAGCAACCCTACAAAACGATGGGTCGGACAGCCTCTGAAGAATGTGTAAATTTGTGAGCTCCATGCTGGACCCTGATGAAAGCTTCATGTTCTGAGGAGTTTCTCACATTTCTGATACAGGCTGTCACCCATTTCTTGGGATTAGCTTACAAATCCCACTAAATAAAACTAGAGATATATAAACAAATTTTTAGCACATCTAAATAGCATTTCAGGCAAAACCAAATGTAAATTGCTTTATTGCTACATGTGAATGTACTAATAAAAGAAGAGCTACGACGCAGAATGAAAACGTTTAATAGTGGAAATGAGATATATGAGCATGGCTGCAGAAATGAAGACAGAACTTCTTTGAGGACTAACAAGTAAGTCTCTTTTTACCCAGCTCAATTTAATAGAGAAATGGTGGAGGCTGAGCTGGTGTACACCACTCTTCTGCCATACATTCAAAATTCAGCTTTACTTGTAAAGGAGCTTGCCAGGTAAACACTCCTCCATTGTTCCTATGAACTAACCATTAACAGGAATCACAAAAATTTCTATTTTTTTCATGTTACCTACAAAAATCATATTCCTAATTGTACAAATGGAAGGCAGTATAAGTAGCAAGCTTCTGCATTTTTTAGAACCCTTGAAAAACGGCACACATATTTTCAAGAAACATTGACCAATCTGACTTTGATTAAAAACATACACCCAAAAGAAACACCCTATTTTTATTCCAAGTTCATTTTATTTTGAAAGTCAAGCATTGATAATGAAAATTACATGCAAAACTTGACCTTAGTTTTCAGTGCTTTTAAGGAGAATCACATGATCACATATGTTAGTCACTTTCAGAGCCAGTTCAAGGTACGTAGGAAATATTTCTTTGTTACAGATAAGGGAACAAGTCACGGCCTTTAAGTAATCCAAAGTCACATGATATTTTAAGTGGCAAATCTGAGAATGGAACTGTTCAGTAAGACAAGTCTCTCTGGTTTATTCAAAGCAGTGTAATTAAACATTTAACAGAGAAACTTGTCTCTGTAGGATCCTTCTTTTAAAAATAAATGTAGGTGTACACATTTTACAGTGCAGGATCGGGCTCTTTAGCAGGAAACAATTATTTTGAAAGCAGAAACTATCACATCCCTTCTCTTCCCACTTTGGTAATGTGTAGAGTGTCTACCATAATGATAACCTTTTGAATCTTTCTGGGTTTCTGGTATTAAAAAGAGCCGAGAATGAATGGCATGGCATTTCTAAGCTGTTCGTAACTAGCAAACAAGAATACATAATGATCCCCCCTAGACAGATGATACGTACTACCCAATTGTTTACAGTTTAGATAAGGTTACATGCTTTTGAAGTGTCTTGAAAATATAAATTATGCTACAAACTACTAGCATTTATCAATAAAGAAACACTAAGACACATGCAACAGGAAGAATAACAAAGTAACGAAGATCTACCCCTTTTGTATCATGACTTGTGCTTTCCATGTTTACAGTGGAATTCAATTCATTATTACTAATCTATCTACATTTTAATTAATTTAATCTAACAGAGTGTGCTTTGTTGTGCAATCATAGTTTACAGAACTTTATCTTTAGAGCTTTGTTTTTAATTCGACACTTCTCCAATTACATGTAAATAATTTCTATTTACAGTTAGTGGAAAACAAGCTGTCTGTACTCCTGCTGTAGTAGAGATTATAGGTGATATATAATATGCTACACCATATGTTTAAAGGCCAATAATGCAATTTCTAATCTCATTCTGGCTAATCAAGCTGCTCAGATTATTTTACATACATCTTCGGTTTAGGCCTTGACATGCCCTTGTTTTTCTTTCTTCTCAAAGCTAAAGTTCCCCTCTTTGATTAGCTGAAACATTTGCATGGTCACTACACATTTTTCATTTTATAAATCATTATGCATTAGCAGTCTTGATCGCCTAGCTTGACTAATCCTGATGAACTGAAATCACAGCTGAAGGTCAAACTCCATCCCACTGCACATTCATATTCAAACAAACCTGCACCATTGTTCATGAGACTTCTAAAATCATTGAAAAGAAGTTACTGAATATCTTACCCTTATTCTTTATGTTTTCCAAAACTTTACCTACAAAATCTTAACGCTTAACAGATGATAACAGCAGAATAATGTCAAAGTCAATACTGGCTTGTTGTTGGAGTGCTTA